AATTAATAAGAGGGGAAATTTTTTAATATAAAAATGCTTTCACTGATGCCTACCTGGTTAGGATAGTAATTCCATTTAATACAAACAAGACTTGTAAATGTTATGTGACATGACTGTACTGTGTTCTGTTCGTGTCACTACTTTAGTCAGTAACAGAAGATGATAGAAATATCAAAGTCTGTTATAATTGTAACAAATATACAAATAGTTACAAAAGGGACTAATATTATAATATAGTAATATTACATGCATATTTTTCATGTCAAATTAAAAAAAATGGTTTCTTTCAATACTGAAAGTAGAACAATATAATAGAAGACTGTAACCTGATTTTTAGGTAGGTATGAGGAAATTCACTAATATCATATTCGTGCGAGACAAAGATATGAAAGCTATTTGACATTGGTAATATATAAAAAAAAAACTATTGTTAATTAATTTTTAGGGAGATCAATATATATTTTTGTTGAATTGCTTTAAAACCATTCATAAAAACATTACACTTCATGTTCAAACTGCAGATCAAAGTTTCTGTTGTTGTCATGATATATATCTATAGCCTATGCTTAAGGTGATTCCGCTTTGTTAGCCATGTTTGTTTTAACTAAAGTGAAAGTAGGCCACAATTCATATAACAACAAAGCTCTTATTGTAAAATGATGAACCATTTGAAAGTACACTTCCAGGTTTATATTTTAAGGACAATTATAAACAAAATTAAAAATGATAACAATAAGAATATTTACCTTGAATGTGCTACATTTCTGAAGACCAAAAACATTCTGTTGCAAAGTTTTATGCACATTTCATGAATGGCAAAATCCTTTTTAAAGTCTGTTTTAGTGCCAACAAAAGCTATTTTTTGCAGCAAATACAAAATTCTTTCAAAAATTAACTCCAAATAAATCAGTACCTCATGTCCTTCTAAGCACATTGCCTCCATTATTTTTTGTAAAAAAGTAGTGCAAGAAAACAATCATGCATCATTTAATTTATAGCCTTATGAACTGCAATTAAAATAAAAACACAATCAAACTTTAAAATCTAACCATTTTATGTGTAACAGTGAAGTGTGTCTGTTTGTCATGTACACAAGAAATAGGTAAATGATGTTTATTTTCATGGTACTACTTTTTTACACATGTCTTTTTCAAGGTCAGATAAACTACTTTCCTAAGATTTATGTTTTTTTTTTAAGTTTTTTTGTATTTTCTGCAAAAAAATAGCATTTGTTTGTACTAAAATAGACTTTAAACTGGATTTTGCCATTCATGAAATGTGCATAAAACTTTGCAACAGAATGTTTTTGGTCTTCAGAAATGTAGACCATTCAAGGTAAATTTCTTATTGTTATCATTTTTATTTTTGATTAAAATAGCCTTTAAAACATAGAATTGGAAGTGTACTTGCAAATGGCTTATCATATAACAATGTGAGCTTTGTTGTTATATGAATTGTGGCCTACTTTCACTTTGGACAGACTTTGTGAAAACAAACATGGCTGAGAAAGCGGAAACACCTTAATGAAAGTCCATCCGCTCGTAAGGGTACAAAATGCAGCTTTCGCTGAACATATCACCAGTCAAACCACAAACTTATTCTTTTTCACAAACTGGTATGCTGTTCCAATGACGCGAATGAAATGTAACGTTATATACTAAAGTTCAACCAATATATCAACATGTTATTATTAAACATTTAATTTCATAAATATAAATTAAAAATAATTATCAAAAGCAAAATTGTTAAAATCTTATGCCTATAATCTTCTTTATATTGACAAATTCAATCACTAATAAAACTTGATATGCTGTGTGTAAATGTATTTCAAAATGTAACAAATTATAATTTCATGTTTTACTAAAAAAGGGAAATAACAAATTTATATATAGCTATTTATAGCTTTCGAATTTATGTAACAGCAGAACTGCTTTCCGGTTCTCATTCATTAATATGACATGCTGCGAATCACCGACGGGGAAACCAATATAGAAATCGAAAGGAGTTCTTGAATGCGGATTTACTTTTAGCTGTTAATCGAAAGGATTTTTTGCTCAAATCCGGGCCCATGGACAAATAAAATAGTAAACACAAATAGCTCCGCGCCTGTGGGCGCGGAGCAATTAAAGGGAATCCAATGAGTTTTTTTTGGACATGACAGACCTAGAAATATTTTTTTCGAGATTTAAAACAAGTCGGTGTAGATATATACTAATACACATTTTAGCCCGACTTTTTTTAAAAAAAAAGAAAAAAAAAGAAAAGAAATAAAATAAAATAAATAGAGGTATAGAACTAACTTTACAGTCACTTCAGCGTTGCCGTTGCAGTCCGCAAACTTGTACCTTAATAATATCTTTTTAATTTCCTGGTGTATTATTTTTACACTTGGCCACACAGCCCTTGAAAAAGACCTTTGGGTAGACAAAACTAACCTTGACCTTCATTCATAAATGGCCTTGAACTTTAAGGTGAATGTCTAAATTTGTGTTTGTTTTTTATATTAGTGGCTATAACTTTGTTATTTGGATTGTCTTCAAACATAAACATAATAATCCTTTAGGATGGACAGCCCTTCAAGTTAACCAGACAGACCTTGACCTTCTCTGATTAATGACCTTGACTTTGAAGTTCAAATTATGAAATTTTCATTTATTTTTTTTGCAATAACTGGCTGTAACTTTGTTATTATTGAATGAACTTACTTTATATTATATCATAACATTTTTAAGGATAAGACCTTTATGTAAACCAAACTCAAATTGACTTTGACTCTTTATGACCTTGACATGGAAGGTTAAATTATTGAATTTTGTGTTAAAAATTGTCAAAAATTTTGTTATCGTTAAATTAGCTGTAACTTTATAATTAAGTATTCACAAAATTAAAACTTAACTGACGTTCATTATGCTGTATTAACAAATATTCTCAAGAACAAAGTCTTGGCATCTTCAAGAACTCACAAGTCTGTATGCTCGTAAATAGAATACCTTAAACTTAAAAAAATAAAAAGGAACAATCGATTGATCTTTAACCAAACGTTATGCACCATTGGACATTTTCTATGGGGGATACCAAACATATGTGGTCATACCAGAAAGTCAACAATGGGTGTGAACTAGATCTAGTCGCACAGATATTCTGTACAGCTGGAAGAACTTTTTCAATGATACTTATCCGAGTTTTTTCTGTCGTCTGAAAGAAGTGCGCACATTTATTTTATTGGTGTGGCAATCGATATACCTAAAATAATCTATTTAGGAAAATATTCATATATACTTCACGTATAATTATGTATTACAAAGTAGATAATTCCAAAACTTAAAAGCGGTATAACGATAATGTATCTAATCGATCGCAATCAATGGGTAACCAGGCAAACGAAGACAAATGTCTTCCATGTGGAACATCTTTTTCAGTAATAAACATGTTTTCGTTTTTTTTCAATTTAAACATGAATTTAAACAAGAAGTTTCTTTAGAAAAGATACTCGGTCGAAGTAAAATTAGTTAGCTTGCATATGTTATTTTTAAGGTTCCGATACACGTAGAAATTTTAACAATAATTATATAACAATGACATAATAATTTCTTGTAGGTTAGGAAAAAATCAAAACATGTTTAAACATATAATTAAATGATAAGCATATTGGTACTGATGTCCCCTCAACTAGGACAACTTCTGTTTTACAGATACGAAGGATAGTCCAGATCGAAATACCCGGCGTTAAGTCTAAAATTCAATAATATTTATTAAAAGTTCATACAACAAACAATATATTAAATTAATAAATGTGTATAGTCTCTGTTTCTCTTAGGCTTGGTGGTAAAGTATTCCATAGTTTTGGCTAAGCACATTGAAAAAAAGAGCTGTCGCCGTACAATAACAGTTCGATTCTTTGGAAGTACATGTGCAAGTGTTGCTGATTCTTTGATCTCAGATCTCTCATTGGTCCATGCACTTCAAGCAACTCACGCAAATAGCCTGAGGCTTGTCCATGTACATATTGAAAGTAAAAAAAATAAATTATATTTAACACTGTCCGCTACAGTGCCAGCAACCAATATAGATCCTTGAGAGATCAAATCGAGACGTCCACATACACGTTATGATTCGAGCTGTCGTGTTCTGGACACTGTTTAGTCAGTCAGTTTGTTGAAGCCTTTGATGCACCATAAATAAGGGGAGTCCGGATGTGACAAGCGAGTTGATAAAAGTTTTTTGTTGCATTTGGCGTAAAGTATTGTTTGGTATGTTCTTTTTTTTTCGTAGCTGAGCGTAACATGATCTGGACGCTAAGTTTACTTGATGGCTCATATCAAAAACAAGGCATATTTTAATTATTGAAAGATTATTGAGTTTTCTAACCAGCAGTCCATTTTCGCACGGTTTACACGCGCATAAAATTTTAGCAGGTCATTTAAATACATGTTTTTTTCCACATTGATAGTAATTGTGGCTGAGTTGCAATCTGATTAAAGTTTAGATCTATTTAACTGAGCGTTATTAAGGACCTGATTTTTATCAGATTGAGCTGAGATGAGTTGTGAGTAGGGCTCCATGCAAAATTCGTGGGTTATTAAGTAAATTCGCGTCTGAAATAAAAACGGATCTAGATTTAGTTCATGGAGAAAATGCCCTTCCATATCGAACAATTGCCATGTGGATGCCAGTGTTTAAAAGGAAGGTAGAACTAATGTAAAAGATGATCCCCGCTCTGGGCTACCACTGTAAAAGACATCTGCCTTAAGCTGTCGGATGTCATATGCCAGTACACGTAGATCTGAATCAATTTTAATATCATCATTTATAAATAAGGATACTAAAAATCACTTTCGTTACTTTTAGGTATCATATACAAAATACTACTTCTTCTCTGTTTTATATTCTACCAGGGAAAATATCAAGACATTTTAAAATCAATATTGAATAATTTACAATCGAAATACCTCGACTTCTTCTCACGATAGTCATTATCCGAAGACGGGCGGAATAGGCCAATTAAAATCATAGTGATGAAGACGACAACGTTTACGAGTTAGTTTGAGGCAGTGTATTTGCCCTGATCTTCCGTTTCAAACAAAGATAAACAACAACAACAACAGTATTGATGAAATAGATTTCATCTACAGGTAAAGTATTTGGTAATAATTTATTCACTGACAATTTGCTTTTGTGAAATCAATACCAAAAGTTGATTGTTAATGGAAATAACAATTTGCAATATGTGTCACGTATTACTGCCGTTAAAATTTAGTTTTCTACTCTCGATTTTGGCCACCGGTTTTGTTTATCTGTTTATACAAAAGCTCGTGGCCACGTTAATTGATGTGAGGCTGTATCAAAACCACTTTTAATCGCTTTCTATTAATCAGCAGGATTTAAGTTATAACGATGTTCCATAGTTATTTATACTGGAAATAAATAATGAACATATCACATTAAATTTGCAACCTTGAAAAATAAAAAAGTGCTATGTAAGCATATTTCTACATCTATCTACATTGTACGTCGGCGCAATCACACTTGATTATGACGCGACGGGTGGTGCTAGGTCAAGAAAAAGAAATATACAAGAAATGATAGAAAGTTAGAAGAGGTTGGATAGTACAAAGGTAGAGATATAGACAAAAAGTATGGCCAGCTACATTTCGCCTCTTCAACCCAAACAATTCTTTATTTTTTAAAAGCTAGTTCGGAGGATCTTCTGCTTTTAGCAGCCGTATAAATGTGATGTTGCTTTGGAATAAATTTACTTCATACGGCATTGGCAAAGCAGCATTGTATTTAAATTTCTCAAAGGAAGTGGCTAGTTGCATAGACCCCTCACTACTATTTACTCACCATTTCATTTTTAATGCAATTTTTGTTACATATAAAGTTAATGCAGCGATTAGTCCTCATCATAATCTATTGTTTGACAGTTTACAGTATAAATGTAGGTATGAATAAAAAAGTCATATATGTACATGTATAAGGCTAAAGCCTAATCATTAAAAAAAAAACCAAGAGATTTTGACGCAAAAATAAATCTCAGGAAGAAGTTACTCATGTCTTTTGCTTTTGTAACAAACAACAAACATGTCAGTGGAGACAAATTAACTAATAGATCAACACATAGGATTTTTTTAGATCTGTGAGAAAAAAACCCACAAATTCGATTATGTCCCATCCGATTGAACCGATGATCGATTGGGACAAATTTCATCCGATTTCCATCACTAGTGGAGACAAATTAACTAATAGATCAACACATAGGATTTTTTTAGATCTGTGAGAAAAAAAACCCACAAATGTGTGATTTGTTAATTTGTAAAAGACAGTAATCAAAATTCTTCCCAGGTATTAATTTTAAAACCAATTTAAGTTTGACACATTGGGTAAAATTGTTTTACTACTCAGTTGAAAATTTGAAATACCCGATTAATTTTGATATGGTTGGGTATTACCAAGTTAATACTGTTGAAAACTTTTCTGGAGCTCTGTTTTAATAATATAGCAATATGTTCAGCAACGTCTAATATTTTGGACTTCTCACCTTAGGATACATTTTTGAGCATATTAAGCATGGCTACTCAAATAAGACTTTGGCTGACCTAGTTATCTCCTTTGGCATAGATTTAATTTTGATATTTATTATGTTTTTTTGTTTTTTTTCTGAATTAAAATAAAAGTATTCACTTGAAACATTGCATATGTCTCTGAGATCATAGCTTTAATATTAAATGCAAAACCTATTTTGAAAGAAACGGGCATTATTGGTTAAATAACTTTTTGAATAATTTGTTTAGAGTTTAAAAGACGTTCTTAAAAGTATTTCTTGATATACATGTATATGCATTTTTCATTTGAAATGAATGGTTTTATTCCTTCCCTTGAGGTTCAAACATATAGTACAACTCTAAGCATTGTAAACAAATTATTTGATTGACTTACACAATCTGACGCTCATGTATGATTAATGAATGTTAAGTTTTTTTTCCAGGCAATAACAGTGTCTTTTAACTGTTTAATGAGCATCAGCAGGATAGTATACAGCTCTCTTTCTACCACTTGTTTTATTTACAAACACATCTGTCCAAGACTTACAAAGTACTCGTCAAATATCTTAACTTTGAGTTTAATACAGCCTTACAGAGGATATATTGTTACATCTAGATATGTAAACGGTCATTGTTTGGCGCAATCTTCAACAAGTCTTGGAGATTTAAGCCAAACTTTAAAACTTCGAAAAGATATATCAAACGCTGACATACTTGACATTTGGCAAACAGACTGTGTAAGAATTTTATTGACACCAAATCCAGTATTCACATCATTTCCAGGATTGCTTGACACACATAACTACAAAATGGCAGAAAATAGATATTTGACTGGTTATGCCAAATTAGGGACGTCAAGTTGTAAAAAATGTAAACAGAAGATTGATAAAGGAGCCCTGAGAATAGCAAAACTTGTCTCAAATCCATTCTCCGAGGTAGGTTTATAATTTTACTTTGAAATGATTATTAGATCCCACATAATGGGACATATGTATTTCTTTAAATAATATGTTTAAAACTAGGTTTCCAATTTTACTGACCATGTAAAATCAGGTTTAACAGATTGTGTTGAAATTGTGTGGGCAATTTTGGGAAAATTATTGCATTGTGTTTATAATCCAAATCAGAGCAAATTTGATTTTGTTTTTCTAAGCAAATTACCGTCTAAATTCCAGGTCTAGAATGTATTACAATTAACAGCTAAGCACACAAGAATGCTTAGTTCTTAGAATTGGATGTATTAGGATGGTCAGTTTGTGCAACCATTACTTAATCATTTATTGTGTATAAATCATAAAAAAACACATTTTTTTAGACTTTTTGCTTGTACAAGTAATGAAATTGTAATTACATTTAAGGATGTATCTCTAAGATGCATTTATGAAGTTGTGATTACATTTAAGGATGCCGGGGACATGAAACAATGGTTTCATCCTGATTGCGTGTTTGAGCAATTTGTACGTGCACGAGCTACAACAAAGAAGATCGAGGATCCCGATGATTTAGAAGGATTTTCCGATTTAGAACAGGCTGATAAAGATGCCATTCTTAAACTGATCAAAGGTATGTCGTAACTTTCTACCATATCCAATTCTATAATTTTTTCTTTTTTTAATACTTATTATTGTTAACCCTTGACCTGATATATTTCTATAATGGATCTGTCCGGCTTTGAATTTGAAACAGTCCATTTCAAGTTCATGGGATTGTAATATCAAAAAACAATAATTGAGCTGCCTAGCTCTATACTGGTGACAAAGACTGATCACTTTTTCTTCCAGCAGGTTAAGGGTAAATAGCTCCAAATTTTGATAGAAAAAAAAAGGAATATTTGTAATATTATATAATGGTCTCTTTTCCCAACTTGAGCAAAGGTATTTTAATTCATGTAAAGTTTTGTGGAATGTTTGTGACTTATATTTCATTTTCGGCTAAATTTAACCTTTAACCTGCTGAATTTGATAAGTGTATTTTCCCTCCGTTGAATTGGGAGCCATTAAATAATTCAAAGTTTATGGAATACAATAATCAAAAGACAAAATTTAAGGTATCTCATCATAGGAAACTGGAAACTGGTAGCTTCCAGCAAAGTGACTAGCAAGTGGTTCAAGTTAACTGGCAGCATCAAATTTCAACCCTTAACCTACTGAATTCTTGAATGGACTTGTCCAGCTTCCATTTTGGAACTGTCCATTATTGTTTTAGGGGATAATCAAGATGAAAGTTCAAAATTTGTTAGTCAACAGGGTAGAGCCTGGTCATATTGCAATAATGTGCAGGCTGGCGTCAATCTTTGCTGGTGGCAAAGGCTAATCCTTCACAGTTCCAGTAGATAAAGAGTTACACACAATTGAGTTGAAATATTTATAATTTGTTTAAACTAAGGTATAGATTTTGGTTAGTAAGCTTATCTGTTTGATTCAACAGGTAAACAAACATATGTTTTGTATATTTAAATCTCATACTTTTCAATGATGATCAGGTTAGAGATAGAGTGCACATTGTATTACAACATTCTCAGATTATCATTTATTCAAATCTTATATGCTGAAATCTTAAAATATCTCAGGAAAACTTATTTTTTTATGTCCTGGTATAAGTTTGTGATTTTTAGAATTGAATTTTACTCCCAAATCACACAAAAAATGAGCCTTTCATGAGAATCTCTAATTTCTGTAAACTTAATAAGTTCAAATTTCTTTATTTTCAGATTTTCAGGCTAGAACTAGTACCCCAGGGAAAAAGAAAACACCAAAGAAAGCTACACCAGCAAAACCGAAGCCAGAAACCAGCAGCACACCAATAAAACAGGAACCAAAACCTGGCTCCTCATCAGGTAAAATAATTGGTTAACTTGGAGAAAAAAAAAAACACACTCAGAAATGTTTGAAACTATCTACATTCTGCATGGCATGAAAATTAATCTTTTTAACATTTTTTAAAGCATTAAACCTAGATTTATATTTTGTATTTTAAAGCTGATTTTTAGGACAATTGTTTGTGAACTTGTCATATACCATTTTTCATCTTAAAAAAAACAACAACAGAAAGTCTACCATTACTATAGTTATGTGCTACAGGTTTAAAGAATAAAAAAACATTTATTACAAATTCTTTTTTTTATAGAATCTGCAGGAGCAAGCAATGGTTCTGGTCCGGTAAGCACATCAGGTGGAAAAGATGACTCATTTAGAGAGTTCCGGCGCCTTTGTGCCGACATTGCCGAAGAAAACAGTTACACAGGAAAAACAGCTATTGTAAAAAAATTTATCACAAAAGGGTCAAGTGGTGGTAAGTTCTCAACATTTAAATATTTTTGCAACAACCCATGTCTTTAAAGGCACTCAACTACACCAGAAAGATAAAATTAAAAGACTTTTAGGTTTAGCTTTGTTGGTTAACCATCCTAGTAATTATCAATTTATCAGACTTTTATCTGAAAATGTTAAGTCTTAGACCAAGTGTAGAGCATGCAGAATAAGGATTTCTTAGCCTACCAGTTGCAGTAGCAATTGCACATTGGGCAAGAGCAATCTGGTCATAGTCTGCACTGTATATATTTTAAAAATGTCTCTAAAAATTATGAATGGTTTTGTCCAGATTGAACAAGAGATATTAAAGATGGTCAGGGTTAATGTACATGTTATGCAAAGTAAATTGACTTAAATTTCTTTCCTAACATATGCAGCATTGTCTGTAGAATAAGTAATACAATACAAAATTTAGACCAAATATCTTGTAATGATATGAAAGAAAAAACAACAAAAACAACTAGTAAGTACTGTACTTTTCAGATGGTTATGAGGGCAACCTATATCTTTTATTGAAACTACTGTTACCTGGTGTAGTGAAAAGTGTGTATAACTTGAACAATAAACAGCTAGTCAAGCTGTATAGTCAGGTAAGTCATTAATGTGAAACATTAACACTGAATATATCACAGAGCTTATTTAGTTTTCTTTTACCAATTTAAGTATTTGGGATTGCCACTGTCAATTGTCTGTGTAACTAGATTTCACATCTTGGGACTCAGTGCCTTGTAAATGGGAAGGATTCTATTAATTTATTAAGTAATCATGTCTTTCCCTAGTATCATCACAAGTCAGATTACCAGACCCATTCCTAGTGGCAGAATTGCTTATTTTACCCAACATTTAAAATAAATTCCCCATTGAACTGAAATTGTCGATTTTAAAACTGACAAATTTGTTCATTCCTGTATGGTGTGAGACTGATGTTTCAACAAATTTCATTGTCAAATTTTATATTTTTTTTTGCTTTGAATAATATTTGCATTGGTTGGAGTAATAATTTTGCACAATTCAAAATACCATACCAAAAGAGCATGGTACCATATGTTCAATTCTTCACACTTAATCTGCCAAATTTATAAAAATAGACTATTTCTATTGTGAATTGTAACTGTCTATTGAAAGACATAGCAATTTTCAATCTGTCATTGGGAATACAAATGCTGTAGATTAATTAAGAACTGGCCATTTTGCAGCCAACAGTATAGGGCCTGGTCAGACTGCACAGCCAGATGTGCCATTCTGGCTTTACACTATACCTGTGGCATAGGGTAGTCATAATAGTTTCTACCACTTGTAGGGATAATGTCAAGCAATGCATTCTTTTGAAGGTATTCCAAACAAATCAGAAAGCAATGTTGGAGGATTTAGACCAAGGAGATGTGGCAGAGACTGTGAAGGTTTTCTTTGAGCAGAGTAAAGTCCTTCCTCCACAGAAAAAATGTGCTCTTACAATACAAGAGGTATGTTTGCTTATTTTACATTGATATTCCAAGTCATTTGACCATAAATTGAACCTGTATGATGCAATGTTTTTGTAATGGATTTTTCTCATTTTTTGACTTCTGAAACTGTGTATATATAGACATAGTTATATTAGAGGAAGCTTTGTTGTGAAAATATTAGAATTAGACTGCACTGACATATATGACTTACCTTGAAAGCTCTTTAATCTAAAATTGTTAACACAGTTTAGGGTAAGACTTTTATATTATAAAGCAAGGATCCTTGTAATGTAAGTAATGTGTATAGTAAATGTTATATTATTTCATTTCTTTTCTATCAGGTGAACAGTTTTCTAGAGGACTTGACAAAGGTGACAAAGGAAGATGACCAGGAGAAAATATTGACCAAAATTGCTCAAAGGTACACAGCTGTGAATTGAAACTAGTTTTAAAGATGCTTGAAAATTTTAACTTGGCCCCCATGTAAAAACAAAATGTCATACCTGGTCATAGTTAAACAAAGGTTATACTTGAATATAAAATCATTCTTAAACGTCTTTGACTTTTGGTCCAATACTAACCTCAGTTACCGTTTATTGAACTTTTTCACTATTTTTTTTGGCTAAAACCTAACAAACCTGTTTGAATGGTTAAACGTGACACCCTTGGTTATTGTAACCAAGTTACTTTAAATATATTCTTTGTGTTGTTTGTGTTGTATTATTTAAACATTTATTAGATCATACATGATTTAAAAAATCAAGTCTGATGCATATCTTAGCAATTTTGTTAAAAATTTTTATTACTAACAAAAATGTACTTTTCTTATTTCAAATCCATGTGTTAATTGATGTCATTTGTTCTGTTCTGGTTACAGATGTACTGGAAATGATTTGAAGATGGTGATTCGACTGATTAAGCATGATCTCAGAATAAATGCAGGGGCCAAACACATGTATGTTTTTAAAATATAATATACGACTAAAAATGTGCTTAAACCACTTCTGAATGTAAACCATATTTAAAATATCTTGTTAAGTAACAAACACTTTTAAAAATGTACTTTGATATTTGACCAGTTGTAAGTGGTCACCTGAAAACTCTCTTCCAGGTCGTAAACAGAGTGTAATTATGAAGATAGGTTTGGCTGTAAGATTTAATGCTATGAACAAGTTGCCTTCAGGCTATATGAATTAAATTTCTGTTATCTGTTTTAAAAATGATAACTTAACAGTTCGTAAGACATAGACAAAGTTGGTTGTAGACAAAAAATTATGTGAAATTTTATATTAAACTACACTCAAACCAATGTTAAAGACCACCTCCATACACAAATCACCATGTGAATACCCGGTAAAAACCACTTTTCAACAACCCTTCATTGATTAAATAGAATAAAATTACTTTCAAATAAAGACCACTTGTCTTTTAAGACCATCACCCTCCTATCATGTGGATGGCCTTTAATCACTGGTTTGATTGTACATCTATTTTTAATTGGATATGGGCAAAATTTTGATAAAGAGAAAATTACTGTTGCAGCTTTGATTTAAGTAGGTGTTAAGATAGTGTTTATTTACGTACATTGATAAAATGTATTTATTATTTCATTTATAACAATAATAATAATATATGCTTAGATACTTAGAAATCTAAATCAATCTGGCTCACAATTGCTTTAAATAGACAACTTACTCACTGCTTTATTGTGGATAAAAAAATGCTAAAACCAAATGGAGATTCTGAACAAGCTTGTAACATTTGAGGTTATTTCTATTTTTAGACTAGATGCCCTTGACCCAAATGCGTATGCAGCATTCCAGGCTTCACGTGACCTTCGTGATGTGGTGGAGAGGGTCATTGAGAACAAAGGAAATGGTGAAAAACCCGGTCTAGGCAAGAAATTGTCAGTGAGAGCTTCATTAATGACTCCAGTATTACCCATGCTGGTATGTTGATATTTCTAGATTTATTACTGGTTATAAAGATGTCAGACAGGTTATATGAGACAGTAGTTGTAAACTTATATAACTTAAAATGCTAGGCGAGGGTTAAAGTGCAAACAATTGTATTAATACAGCCATGTAACAATGTCAGACATCATTAAAAGAAGTTTATGATAAAGAAGAATTATTTCATTTGAAGAAAACGAAAAAAAATTTCAGTAGGAGAATTTCATATTACTTGCAATACTATGATAATTGCTTCTACTTTTTGTGTTTAGAATGTGACAAATACACAAACTTTGGACACTTCAAAAAATTCAAATCTTTGCAGAATAAATCAATTGCTTAGCCGCGGTATATAATTAATATTTAAGGGATATTGAAAGTTGTGTTTAGTATTTATATGCATCTTGACTGACTATTCAGGCAGAGGCATGTAGATCAGTGGGCCAGGCTATGAAGAAATGTCCCAATGGTTTCTATGCAGAGATAAAGTATGATGGAGAGAGGGTACAGCTTCACAAGAAAGGATCTGACTTTCAGTACTTCAGTAGAAGTCTTAAACCTGTACTACCACATAAGGTGATATATTCTTTATTCTGTACATCAGCCTATTGTACCTAAAAAATCCTTCAAAGGTAGCAAGTAAAGGTAGCAAAATGTGAACAAAGTAGTATTTTGACTTCAATACAAAATACTATAATTTATTTACTATAATAATACCAATTGCCAACAAAGCATAGTTCATGTATATGGCAAATGAGTATTTTTTTGAAACTAATAAGATATCAAACATTTAAAGTTTTTGTGAAATAAAGTGATAGCATTTCTGAGGCATAATGGGCCTTTAATCATATTTCCAAGTGTGATGTTATTTATCATTTTGAGAAGTTGTAAACTCATATCCTACTATATTAAAATATCAATGGGTTATTAATATCCATGACAAATAAATCTGTCGAGGTAAACCATTCCAAATATGGTAAAATATGCAAGAAAAATATCTGACACATGCTTGTGGCTTGCATCAGAATATCTGTCCCTCAGTTACATGCATGTGGGCAGTAATAAGACTTTCAAACTGCAACATATGACATTTATTATCATTCTAAGGCATAAAAATTTTATTGTTCAACTTTTCAAGATTTGATTATACTTGTAGGAAAGGTCTTCGTGTAAAAAATGCATTTCAAAACAAAAAAAAGATTTTCTGACAAGTTTAATGCAGACAGGGTTAAATGGTGCAAAAGTAAAGCTTTTAGAGTATTTTGAAAAAAAATGTTGTATGTTAATATCAGATTGTGTATTCATAATTATTTTCTTTTCTCCTAGATAATGCAATGAATGATAAGGTCCCAACTTTGAAATTTGAAAAGACTGACGATTATTGTACAGATATAACATAGTTTGATTCTTTTGTCTATTAGAATATTAGAAAATAGTTTGTGAAATTTACTGACTGTTACCTGTCAGAGATTTGACTTTGTTCATTGCATTTTGAAAATAAGATAAGGTCTTTCTTATGCAAATTTCATATTTTAAATTATTTTTTTCAGGTTTCACATTTTAAAGAATTTATTCCTAAAGCGTTTCCATCTGGGGATGATCTTATACTTGATGCTGAAGTACTTCTTATCGACACAAAAACTGGGATACCTCTACCATTTGGCACCCTTGGTAAACATAAAGTAAGTCATGTTGAATTTTCATAATTATCAGGATTAAATGTATAACCTGCTGAAATTTTGAAATGGATTTGCCCTGCTTTGAATATGGAATAGTCCATTTGAAAAGGAAGGGATTTCAACATAGAAATACAATACTTAAGATACAAGTAGTATTGAGCCTGGTAAAACTGTACAGATATGCAGGCTGCCAGGCTTTATGGTTGTGGCGATGGTTAATTGCCTTTTGCTCCAATAGGTTATGGGTTAAAGTATTGTCTTCTAGGCAGAATGGGTAGTAAGATCCTAAATCAGAGTTTTATTTTCCTCATTCTTGTGCCGATGACAACGTAGGCATAACACTTTGGTTAAGTTTTTGCAACCAAAGCTACTGAGATGAATGGCTTGAACCTTGTTCTTTATGATTATCAAACATGATGGGCACAGGTCCCATTACTGTGAGTTACCTCTTACAGAGTTATGCCCCTTTTCTAACTGACAAACACTGGTCATAGTTGAGCGTGTTGTCTTACTGACAGCTCTTGTTTCTTTCCTGATGATATAAGATATTAAAAAATTGATTATTCTTATTTTATGATTAGAAGGTATTGTTTTAAAAAAACGTGATTTTAGTCCTGTCTGATCTTGCATTTAGAGTAACTATGCTTCAATTGTATAATATTTGTTTAGCGTATATATAAATCTGATTATCCAGAACACTGGTGCGTTTATGATTTTTTTCTTGTAGAAAGAACAGTTTAAAGAAGCCAATGTTTGTTTATTCATATTTGACTGCCTTCATCTGAATGGAGAAAATATTATGGATAGGTAATTTTTCACATGACATTATTTAAAGAAAAAGCACTGATTTCCATTGTCAGTTCAAACTTGGTCATATAGCAGCCTGTATGTGGCTTGTTATAAAGAATTTACCTAAAGTGTTGTAAAGGTTTTACAAACAAAGTTTTCTATAAAAGATTCAAGAACAAATTTACAGTCGTTTTCATATACTTAAGGTCATATCTGGTCAAAGTTTTAATAAAGAAATCTTTCATGTACTAGTATAGTAACAGTCCAAGATCTGCTACTCAGTACCTATTTTTAAATTGTCTCTATTAATTATAAATGATTTCGTCCATTTTGAAATATGAACAAGTCCATTTAAGATATTTAGGCCAGTAAAGGTTAATGCACTTGATTTATATTAGAAAACATAATTAAACTAAATGTTAAACTGTTCTTTTAGTAGTTTTACTATTAGCTATTGCTTCATGCATGTGTCTCATGCTTTATCCAAAATGTACAAAAAAGTATTCTTCCAAACTTTAAGCTTTGCTATGACTTTTAATGATTTAGAAGGCACAATTACACCCTTAAAACAAGTATATGTACATGTATCTAAGGAGAAATTATTTCTGGAGCATTTTGATTTTCAGACCAATTAAAGAAAGGAGAAAAATTCTTCAGAAGGAGATGATTGAAATACCAAACAGAATTTTGTTTTCTGAAATGAAACATATTACTGTAAGTTAACCAAGATTGTATTTATAAATTTATTCATTCGGTTCCAAGAAATGAACTTTAACGAAAGTGGGGCATCAAGAAAAAACTTTAGAAAAATGTACTAAGGTTTTAAGAAAAGTAAAAAAAATAAAATAATGATTAATAATATGCCATATGAGGCTATTGCCTGATTTGCAGTATTTATCACCATATTTCTACTGCTTGACTAACACATTAAGGGCTATTTTTGCATATTTTGACCTCTTTTGGTAATTTAGTGCTGTTTGCATTGTGTAATTAAATATCATTTCACAAGATTGAACTTTTAAATACATTTTCAAAATTTTCATGAAAATAAGCATGGATCAGAAGATATCCTTGTTTAAGGAAAATATTCTATTGTAGACCAACTTGTTTTAATTCATTGTTGTTATAGGAGGAAGATGATCTCACCGATATGATGACACGGGTGTTTCAGGAAGGTCTGGAAGGTCTTGTACTTAAAGATGTCAATGTGAGTAGAATGATTATTACAAATGATGTTTTTGCATTTTTGTTTTATCTGTTGTCTGTCTATCTGTGTGTGGACAACTATAATTTTAGACAGGCTTCATTCTTTTAAGCTAAGCTTCTTATTTCGATGATAATAATGATATAATAAAGATATATTTTGATATTTTGAACTGTAACCTTGAACCCTAAATGACCTTTGAGCTTCAGCATGAAATTTTCACAAGTTAGGTGATTTCACTTTGTTATTTGTGAACAAATATGGTACAGGTACATTTGTGTTAAAAAAAAAAAACCAAAAAACAAAGCTAGATTTTCTTATGTTTGGTTTAATCCAGCATATAAATCAAAAGAACCTGATGTTGAATTTTTAATATAAATCATTTCAACAGAGTATTTATGAACCTGGAAAGCGTCATTGGTTGAAGATAAAGAAGGATTATTTAAATGAAGGACAGATGGCTGACTCAGCAGATTTAGTTGTTCTTGGAGCGTTCTATGGAACTGGCAATAAAGGTAACATTTGTAATATCTTTGTACTTGTAGTATTAGTATTACATATCTTCAGGTTTCTTCATTGTTTTAGAATAGATGGATAAAGAGCATATGAATTAACCCTAAATCAGCTGGAATTTCCCTGCTTTAAATAAGGAATAGTCTATGCAAAGTTTTAGGGATTTCAATATTAAAATGAAATTATCAAAAGTTAAGTGCGCCCTATCAGCCCCTCATGATAGTATTTAAAATTTCTGCAAGTATGTAAAATTGTATGCTTAAAGATAACAAAAAATTATTATGCAAATAGTTTTTGATCAAAGCATCATTTGCAGAAACTGTTGCTACATATATTAGTCCCTAAAATTGAATTGTAAAGAAAGCCACTGGCACTGTGTCTTTTACATGAGTTCTCTCTATTTCTATAGGTGGGATGATGTCTGTATTTCTAATGGGGTCATATGACCCAAACACTGACCAATGGTGTACTGTGACCAAAGTAGGGAATGGGTTTGACGATGCCACTTTAGAAAAACTGCAAAAAGAGCTCAAGATGGTGAAAATCAGCAAGAATTCTAGCAAGGTCCCAGACTGGCTTAATGTGAAGAAGAATATGATACCAGATTTTGTGTCAGCAGACCCAAAAAGTGCACCAGTCTGGGAGATTTCAGGAGCGGAATTTAGTAAAGCAGAGGTATGATGGTTTATTATTAAATGTTTATCATTTCTGTTGTGTATCATGGTCTTAACCCTTTCCCTTCTGAATTTCCTATAATGGAATAGTCCTGCTACTAATATAGAAGCATCCATTGTAAATCTTAGGGATTTCAGTATCAAACTGATACATTTGAACAGTACTTGCTGTAATCTTGTAGCATTGTCAAGTACTTATTGCAAATATCACTCAATGCGTGAAAAATAACTAATCATAGAAGTGCTATATGAAACCAGAATTTTGTTATTTCATTTACAAAATCAACAAGTTCCTGATATATCCAAGTTTTCCTTGTGCATGATACATAAATTTTTTCTATACTGACTAAGTTCATACAGCATATAGTATATTTATTACATTTTCCTGTAAACCATATATGAATTATTTATATTAACCAGGTTCATAAAACAGATGATATAAGATTTCCTCATGTAATATGTAAATTATTATATATTTATCAGGTTCATACAGCAGATGGTATAAGATTTCCTCATGTAATATGTAAATTATTATATATTTATCAGGTTCATACAGCAGATGGTATAAGATTTCCTCATGTAATATGTAAATTATTATATATTTATCAGGTTCATACAGCAGATGGTATATCTATAAGATTTCCTCGTGTAACGAAGGTTAGAGATGATAAATCATGGAAGGAAGCCACTGATTTACCAAGACTAAAGGTATGATGATAATTGAATATGATACAGTATTAGATTTTCTCATTACTCATAATATGTACAATTTGTATATATATTTATGTCACCTCACACATAGAGGCTAACTTTTATTTCAAATGTCCTGTTTAGTTTGGATGTCACAAATTGTGTCGGCTTCATAGCTTGATTTTTTTCTTTAAAAAGGGAAATATTTTTACCACCTTGAGACAATGTAGAATACACCAACAACATTCTGACTTGACTAGTGCATGTACTGTGATGAACAATCTACCTGCCATACCAACTGGCTACAGGGGCAAAGGTCAAGTTTACCAAGGTCAAGGCCCCTTGGGAGGGCATGGCATTGTCATTCATATGAAGGAAATCTTGTTCTCCATTATTAATTTATATGCCCATGAATTGTTAACATAAATGTATATGTTATAATTTGTAGTAGTCAGTGGATTAATGTTCTTACCTTTGTATTTTAGGATTTGTTCAAGAAGTCAAAAGACACATCAGACATCGTTATCCCAGGAACCAAGAAGGGTAAAGGGCCCGGCAAATCTCCGGCTAAGAAAGGCAAATCTTCCAGCGGCAGTGATACAGATGTAAATGATGACAGTGATGGTAAGATGTTGATACAAATGTTTGGTTGTCTGAAGCTTTTGTTCATGTGTTTGTGGTTTAACCATGTTAAAATGTATGCGTGTGATTAATTTGTGTAAAGAAAATGTGGTAGTGATTTGTCAATAGAAAATGTAGTGGTAATGATTTGTCAATAGAAAATGTGGTGATAATGATTTGTCATTAGAAAATGTGGTAATCATTTGTCAATAGAAAATGTGGTAATGATTGATCAATAGAAAATGTGGTAATGATTGATCAATAGAAAGTGTGGTAATGATTGATCAATAGAAAATGTGGTAATGATTTGTAAATAGAAAATGTGGAAATTATTTATCAATAGAAAATGTAGTAATAATTTATCAAAAAAAAATGTGGTAATGATTTATCAATAGAAAATGTGGAAATGATTTGTTAATAGAAAATGTGGCATTGCTTTATTGATGTGAAGTATTTTAATGTTTTTACCATTTTAATAATGTAATGATTTGTCAATATGAAATAAGGTAAAGTTGGAAAGTTTCTTTTAGCTGAGTGACTTACTACCAATTTAAAGAAAGTCATAACACTGGCTGTTTCCTTCCAATATATCTTAAATATTCTTGAATATGTCCTATAATCCTACCCAATTAAAATTAAATAATATAGAATTTTATTTAGATATTTTAAAATTTCATCCAGCAAACAGCAATGCAACTCCTGTGAAATCCAAAAGTACATCGGTGTCATCTACACCTGGCGAGTCTTCAACACCTGGTGGGACTGTTGGAATAGCCAAATACTTTTCGCCAAAAAAGGAACAAAATTCTCCAACAAAAGCAATCAAGCGGACCAATGAGAATGGAAATGAATCAAGTCCAGCTAAGAAAGTAAGTGATGGTCATATAGATAGAATTCAAAGTAGAATTTTCCACTTGTTATCCTGCTGTCAATATTTATAAAGAACGGAATGGCAGATTTTTTTTATTGTCAAAGTCTAAAATGAAATAAAATTCTTCTGATTTATAAGATTTTAGAAATTAAAACTTGTCTCTACCAGCTATTGAATCCCATAGAGAGCTTTAAATTCTTTTTGTGATTAGCTATCTTACAAAAGTATAAATTCTCCTCCAATGCTTGTCTAAGACTAAAATAAATGTGAGGGGGCCACTGGATGGCTTGCCTCACCGGTAAGATGGATGGGTGTAGTGTTGTGACTTACAACCCAACAACAACAAAAATAAAAATATGAAAAAGTATTGGTACTGAATTAAGTCTCCTAATTTAGTCACATAAATTTTCGATTAAATAAAACATTTAGCATACACTCTTGTTTTCTCGAGGCATTTTACATGCTCAGAGCTTAACTCATTCAATTTTCTAAATAAATTTGTTCAACAGTGCTTTATAGTTTGCTTTAAGCATGATTGAAAGATAGAACCAACTTTCAAGCCATGTCTTACATTGT